TATTTGGTGCGGCTTGCACCAAAGTCGGCGGACATCCAGCTCTCCCTAAATACCTCCTCGCTGCATCTCGGCGTAGCTGCGGGATCTGCCATCGGCGGCGTGGTGATCAGCCGTTATGAGGTTACGGCCAATGCCTGGATCGGAGGTCTGTTTGTTATCCTGGCTATTGTTTCAGCCATCGTTACCCTGTATAGAGGCAGGGTGATTCATAATAAAGAAGATAACTCCTTTCAGGAGAGCCCCTCCTGAGAAAGCCGTCTCTGCCATGTAAAAGGTAACCCTAGTGAACCGCCCATCCGATAACCGGATGGGCGGTTTTTTTGCATTCTATTTCTCCTGCTCCTGGATCACCTGCTCGATCCCGAGCAGAATCAGCTTCAGTCCAAACTCGAACGCCTTGTCTGTCCCCATCAGCTCGAACAGCCCATTCTTGAACATCCTCCGGAACAGTCCGGCATCCGACTCGCTCATGGAGTCCAGAAGGCGAATCATTTCTTCACCCGGAAGCGCTCCTTCTCCATGCTCCTTAACAATCGCGGAGACATTGCGCTGGTGCTCATAATCGTCCAGAACGAAGTTGAAAATATAATTCATAAGCGTAAGAACCACTTGCATTTTCTGCTCCTGCTCGAGCGGCGTCGATTCCACGCAGAGCAGCATCCGGTTGGTGAACCGGATGATGTCCGGTTCGTGGGGCAGCGTCAACATCATAAGTTGCGTGGAGCAGGGATACCGGCCGAGCACGCTTCGCACCGTTACCGCCAGCCCCTTCAGCTGCTCCTTCCAGTCCCCCTCGGCGTGGTACTCCTCCAGAATAATTTTCGATACCTGATTGGCCAGACGCTGGTAGAGATTTTGTTTGCTCTTGAAGTACCAGTATATCGAGGGAGCCTGAATCCCCAGCCGGTCGGCCAATCGTCTCATGCTGAACTTTTCGATACCTTCCTCGCCAAGAAGCTCCCATGAGGCTTCCAAAATCCGATCCTCCGAAATCTGAGGCTGCTGTTTTTTCATCGGGAATCCATCCTTTTACCTAACAGTGTAAGTTTATGCTTTACATGTTCATAAGTCCATGATATCATCTAACACTGTAAGGTTCAAACTAACACTGTAAGATGACATCTGCACTGTTAAACGGTTGACCTAAATCAATAAAGAAAGCAGGGACCCGCATGGATACAGAAAATCTTTATTACTTTGAAAAGGCACCGGTCGCCAAAGCCGTAGCTCATTTCGCCGTACCGATGATGCTGGGCACGTCAATGAGCGTCATCTATTCCATATTGAATGCCTATTTCCTGGGCACACTCCACAATACGGCGATGTTAACCGCTCTCGCGTTAACCTTGCCGTTGTTCGCCATCATTATGGCACTGGGCAACTTGATTGGCATCGGAGGCGGTACCTTCATTTCCCGTTTGCTGGGAGAGAAAAAATTGGATGATGTCAAGCATGTGTCTTCATTCGCTTTTTACAGCAGTTTAGTTATTGGTCTTATCGTGATGGCCGTAGGTATCCCGCTGATTGATCCCATTGTCCATGGATTGGGGGCAACGCCCGACTCCTTCGGCTTCACGAAGGACTATGTGACGATGATGCTTATTGGTTCACCATTCGTCATCTTATTTTTCACACTGGAAAACATCGTACGCTCGGAGGGTGCGGCAATGACGTCGATGATGGGGATGATTCTGAGTGTTGTCGTGAATATTATTCTCGATGCGCTGGTCATCTTCGCTTTTCATTGGGGCGTTATCGGCGTTGCGTCTGCTACGGTCGTTTCCAACCTGGTCGCGAGCGTATTCTACGCCTACCATATGGGATACAAGAGCTCATTTTTAACGATCTCCGTTAAATGGTTTAAGGCGTCCAAAGAGATTTTGAGCAATGTCATCAAAATTGGAGTGCCCGTCTTTATTATGAGTATCTTTTTGGGGGCCATGTCGCTCATCTTTAATCGTTTTCTTGTAGAATATGGAGATCCGGCCGTTGCAGCTTACGGAATTTCATCGCGTTTATTGCAGTTTCCCGAGTTTATTCTGATGGGTTTATGTGAGGGAGTCGTGCCATTGATTGCCTTCTCTTTTACAGCGAATAAATTGCGTATGAAGCAAACGATCGGATTTACGATCAAAACGATTGTAGCGTTAGCCGTCGCGTTCGGCATCATCGTCTATTTGATTTCCGACCACTTGATTGGTTTATTTACGAATGACCCGCAGTTAATCGAAATGGGCAGCTATATCCTGCATGTGACGTTCTTATCCTTGTTCATTACAGGCATGACCACGTTGTTTACGGGGATCTTCCAAGCGACCGCACAAGGAACCGCTGCGTTTATTATGTCCATTATTCAAGGAGTTACGCTGATTCCTGTACTCTATATCGCCAATCGAATGAACGGCTTCCACGGGGTAGTCTGGTCGCTCGTCATCGCGGATGCCGCCGCGTTCCTGGTTGGGGCCATTATGCTGTATGTTTTGCGGAACAAATTGCAGCCCGATATGGAGAGTTTAGTACAGTAGAAAACATAGGGTTATCGTTCGTTGAGGAGATTACAACATCTATTGTTCTTGAACACAAAAAAGCTGCGGTCAGACACCCCGCAACCGTTGATTGTATAAAGGATCGAGACGACAGGATTTGAACCTGCGACCTCTTGCTCCCGAAGCAAGCGCTCTACCAAGCTGAGCCACGTCTCGTTAAGAGAAAGCTTATACTATAAAATTTACTCCGATTTTACATTTTGTAAAGGGGGTAAAAGAAAAATTCACAATTCGTTTAACGATTGGGCAAAATGATCCTGTGCTGCCAGCAAATGAAAAGACCGGGGGAATCGCAAAGATTCCTTCCGGTCTTGTTTGGTTTCTAAAGCGTAAGTTTTATTTGCCTGCAGCATCGCCCGGCTTGGACGGCTTTTCCGAATCATTCGCAGGGGTGGTATTGCCTGGCTTGCTGCCCGCTGGTGTATTGCCAGCCTGGGTACCTGTTGGAGTGCTGCTTGCTTTGGCATCCGCCGGTTTGGTCCCATCTGTCTTGGCATCGGCGGGTTTCGTGCCGCTCGTTTGATCATCTGCCGGGGAAGTTCCTGCTCCGGATCCGGCCGGAGGAGAAGTCGCCTCCGTGTTTGCATCCGTATTCGAATCCGTATTCACATCCGTGTTCGCATGCTCCTTCTCCTGATCCTTCCACTCCGGCAGCGCCGCCACATAAGCATCCGACATGCTGATCAGCTTGTGCGCCCGCTCGTACGTTTCCTTCGAATCCAGCGGCTTGGTGACTTTGCCTCCGTTCAGCGGATAGGTCACCCCGTCGGCGTAACCGGAGCCCGGTACAAACGCTCCCTTAGCCGAAATAAACGAGCCTGACGGGAGATAATACCGCTGCGGCAGCACGGGGCTGTTCTGGTTGAGCAGATCCTGGCCGAAGTGCACCTGGTTCTTCAGCGAGACGCCGATCAGATTGGCCAGCGTCGGGAAAATATCCGACTGCCCGCCGACCTGCTCCAGCGTCTGGGCTTTTTGGTTCGGCACAGAGAGGACGAGCGGGATGTTCATCATATCGGGGAGGGTGTACTCCCGTCCGTAAATTTCCTTCATCAGCTTTTTCTCGTTGTGATTGAGGGAATATATCGGAA